AGTTTAGTATGTTGGAAAACCAGGGCTCGGTCTTCTTTGTTCTGGAATCACTCTAAAATTTAGCCAAAACATATTGGCAATTAAAAACACAATTATCATTAATTATTGTTTTCTACAAAAGTCTGTGATTTCTTTGTGCAAAAAAAAAAGGCTTTGACCTGCATTAATACAAACTAGCAGTTACAAACCAGCTATAAATGCTTCAAGAATGCTCCCAGTTTAACAAAACAAATACTCTTTTGCAAGTACTGGATTCTTGGCTGTTTAGTCCTATGTAAGTGAGCTACAGCTATGGTAAAGTCTGTTTTCTAAGGAGATGTTGGTTTTAGGTGAATCACTTCGTGGTGGATGCCACTTAGTAAGAGGCAGTGCTCAGATTCTCAAAGTTCCCAAAAGCCTTTTTCCACTTGATTGTCTGTGGTCTGAATATGTGGCAGCGTGGACATATGAGTAATTTGTTATGCTGGAAACTTGGAGAGGAGGCTGGCTTACTAGGGAAGAAACCACTACAGATCCTTGATTATACTTATGGTTTGGTTTAAATTTCTATTTTCCAGAATTGTAATTGTTATATCTGTGAAAAGTGGTTAGTTCAGCATTTTTACAAGTAGTTTAAATCTACATCTTTGTGTTGATCAGCTGTAGCCCAAAAGATTATTTCCTTTTCCAAGTTGTTATTAATAAATATAGTACAAACAGGATATAGAAGTTTTGTCTCCTTTAGTTTGCTTTCTAAAACTGATCTTTTTTTTTAATGTTATATCTAAGTCTGTCTCTTTTTGGTTTTGTTATATCATCTCTTAAAGTACCAAAAAAGCGAAAAACTAAATTGTTTAGATGTGTCCAATACTTCTTTTTTTTTTTTTTTTTTAGGAGGAGTAAGTTAATTATCACAGCAAAACTTGAAAAAAGTCTGCCTGCAAGTTCCAACTTTCAGCTCCTACCCCAAAATAAATCAACAAACCCTCTGAAGTTGTACTTAAAGACCATAGTAATAAATGTCTTGGAAGCAATACCACATACCACAGTGAATATTTGGAAAATATAATATTGTGAAAATATTGGCAAATATCATAATACTGTGAATATTTGGAAAATATCTTCTTTATTAATGGCTCTTTCTCCACATTTCCATGCTCTCTCTGTGACAGAGTTTACTGAAATACCATAGAAGAGCTGCTGTTACTGCATTTTTTCAGGTAGCGCAGTCTTGTAGGACAAGAGCATTGATTGAAGATATGAGAATTATGCTCAAGATTTGGAGATTAATAATTTCAGTATTTGGCACTATTTGTTGCATAGTACTTAACACTCCTACTGTTTACTATTTTTGCTGTAAAGCTTTTCAAATACTGTTACCCAAATACAGAGCAAAATACATAGTAAGGGATGTATATGACTTATGCATAAATTATAAGGAGAGAAGAGAAAGAGGTGACATGGTGTATTTTATAGATGCATCATACATGATAAGGAAACGGAAAAGTTCTATGTATATAGCATAAATTATCCTTTTTACTGTACCTCAACACCAGTTTAGATTTTAGATCTGTTTAGATCTATTACACGGGAGTAAGTTTAGAAGTTTTTTAAAAATAATTTACTAATATTACAGTTTTTATCAATCTTAGGTTGAGTTGACACATCTGAAGGTCTCCAAAAGGATTGTTTTCATGCAAGGTTACAGTTCAAGGCAACACAAAATTTGTGATGAAGTTTTTGTTGGAACTCTTAAGGCAGAATTTACAAATGTAAGGAAATTATAAAAGTTGTTGCGTTTTCTCGTGCATTTTTTTTCTCCCAAATCTGAGCTTAGATTTGAGCCCATTAAATTGACTTTATTCCTAGAGAAAAAGTCTTGATGCATCCTTTTGTTTACTGATGGCTGACAGAATTCTGTTCTGTGAGTGAAAAAGCCAGTGTCAAAGTAACTCCCTGTTCAACGGGCAAGATTGTTGTAGTAAAATCTCTTCTTGACCTGAGAAGTTTGACAAAATAGCTGGTAATTTTATTTTCTTGGAGAAAACAAAGGTTAGTATAGTACAAAGGTTAGTACATAATATCACACCTTTTGTGTTTTGGTTCCAAAAGGGCAGACATATTTGTTCTGAAACTGATTTTATGTTTCCTTGACTGATCAGTAATGCTTTTTCTCTGTATAGCTGTGTGGAAAAAGGCTGAGATTTAGCTGAATGAATGATGTGGAGGGAGAAGAGTGTTTCAGTGGTATGTCAGGATGGGAGCATGTGCTTAGAAATGAAGTGTTGGGTTTAATGGAGAGTTGTGCTTTGAAAACACACTAACAAAACAGAAAATCAAGAAAAGAAAAAAAAGGATGGAGACATGCTTTGTGTAAGAGCAGCATAGAGAGGAAGAAGTGCTCATGGGCTTTGAGGGAAAGCCATTCTTGGCAAAATTTAGATGACTGTGACCTAGAAGAAAAACATTTTCATTTGCTATGTAGGTTACACAGACAAAGCATAAACCAACTATCTGCTTACACTTTCTCGATTTCAAGTGCTACCTTTAACACATGCTTCAGATCCTCTGTGATGAAAGGCTTCTGATTTGCAGGAAAAACATGAGATACTTCTGATGAATTAGTTGTATTTGGGTGGCAATGAATCACTTATTTGGAACAGGTTGTAAAGATTCAGATTAAGGGATTTTTTAATATTTTTACTAGCCAGTTGGATATTTTATAGGCAACCTTTTTCATATACATTTTTAGTTAATAGAACAGTCTGATTGCTGCTGTTAAGCAGGTATATTTTAGTTTTCTGATCAGAGGTGAATGCTGAAATCTGATGTTTTGGTCTGATAGGCACAACAAATAATATACATATCCAGAGAGAATCACAAACTACCTTGATGTTCTCTTGCAGAACATAAGATTTCTGTTGAATGGAGGAGGTCTCGGGGCTGAGGTCATGTGCAGGAGGGCAGCTGAACAAATTGTGGGTGCTCTTCCTGAACCCCTGCTTATGCAAATGAAGCAGAACTAACATGTGAGGGGAGTTTTTGTGAAGAAAAACCTTTGGAGTCTGCAAAGCACTAGTCACCTAATCATGGAGATGTCAGACATCATAATAGAAGACAAAATATATCCAGGTAGTAAACACAATCTTGGGGCTGGTGACTTCATCAGATCCCACCCTGTGCTATCTTTGCCTTTTTGGTATTGTTTTGAAAGTGCTATGGTGTTAGTTCCAAGTATGCTGTAGTTGGAACATTTGCCTTTTCTGGTACCTAAATGTTTTCTTGTCCTGTTTAATATCTTTGTTGTTGAGGGCATCAAGTGCATCCTCAGTAGGTATGCAGATGACACTAAAGATGGGCTGGGGTGTAGATCTGCTGGAGGGTAGGAAGGGTCTGCAGAGGGAACTGCATGGGCTGGGTTGATGGGTCAACGCCAACCACATGAATTTCAAAAAGGCTAAATGCTGGGTCCTGCACTTGGATTGCAACAACCCCTTGCAGTGCTGCAGGCTGGGGGAAGAGTGGACAGAACACTGTCCTGTGGAAAAGCACCTGAGGGCGCTGTTCACAGCAGCTGAACAAGAGCCAGCAGTGCCCAGGTGGCCAAGAAGGCCAATGGCCCTGGAGCAGGGCAGGGATTGCCCGCCTGTACTCGGCACTGGTGAGGCCACACCTTGGATCCTCTGTTAGTTGTGGGCCTCTCACTTCAAGGAGGAGATTGAGGGGCTGGAGCATGTCCAGAGAATGGAAACAGAGCTGGGGAAAGCTCTGGAGCACAAGCCTGATGAGGAGCTGGAGGTGTTTAGCCTGGAGAAAAGGAAGCTCAGGGGAAACCTTCCCACCCTCTAGAGATGCCTGAAAGGAGGGTGTAGCCAGGTGGGGGTCTCTTGCCAGGCAACCAGTGACAGGGCAAGAGTAAATGGCCTCAAGCTGTGCCAGGGGAAGTTGAAGACAGACATCAGGAAAAACATCTTCACTGAAAGTGTGGGCAGGCATTGAAACAGGGAATTGCCCTGGGAAGTGTTCGAGTCCCCATTCTTGGAAGTGTTCAAGAGATGAATGTAGCACTTAGTGCTGAGGTTTATTTGATGCAGTGGTGATCGTTCAAATGTTGGACTTTATGATCTTTTCCAGCCTTAGAGATTGTATGATTTTATGAAGCTGTGGCCTTTTCAATGTGAAAATGGACAGAATTTATGGTATTCTAGTAAGCATGAACAATGGAAATATTTAAAAAGAGTTTTTTGGGGTCTGTGAGGTTTTTTAGGGCTTAGGTTTAAATGTTTTAACCTATACAAAGATAGAGCAATATCAGCTCTAAAAAGGGGAGAAGAGAAAAAAAACACAACAGGCTTACGATACGAAGTAGTTTTTGTTTGTTTTAGTCTTTCCATCCTTGTACTCTAAATAAGTCTGCCTTTAGTATACTGCCAGGTAAATTAAAAACAATCCATTATTTCTTCATTTTCTTGTAGGAGTTTTCATTAGTTCTGCAGTCTTTTGTGCCAAACTCTTTTCTAGTTGGTGATTCTGTCTTCATTATGTTGTTTGTTCTATTTATACAAGCCAAAGGAAAGTTTAAAAAATGAATTGAAATGTCTTTTCAAGTATACACACTTTAAAAAATCTACTTTCAGCCCTTCAGGACTTTTTTCATTTACTTTCTTGTTCAGGTTGGATTTTTTATGTAATAGTGGGATTGGAAACCTGGAGATTGACCTTTAGTAATAAAAAATTATTAACCTGATTGTACCTTTCTAAAAAATATTTAAATTCCCACTATTAGTTTTGTATGTGGTTCCCACTGATTGTTTTTCAAACTTTCACATAGATGTGAAAGATACTTCAAGAAGTTAGGACAGCAGAACAGTTTTCAAACTATTCCATTGATTTAAAAATGGAATACTACTATTTTTGGTCATAGATATAAAAACTCAGTTTTTCAGAGGTGCTTAATAAGTATAGCTGTACCTATAAAGACTTTCTTGGCTAGAAACTGAGTATTTTCATTTTCTCAACAGGTGTCTCAATGCATGTACCTACTGTAAAACCAAGCATGCCAGAGGAGATCTAGCAAGTTATCCTATTGAAGAACTGGTGGACAGAGCCAAGCAGTCTTTTCAAGGTAAGGAATTTTATCCCTACAATAAAAGTCAGCCACTGAAGTGTATCTGAGCTTACCTTCAGATATAATGATTGGGGTACAATATGACACTGTTGCTATTAGTAGTCATAGCTGTGTCTCATGGTGTCTTTGTGGCAGAAAGCTTTTGTTATGGTGTACACCACTGTTTGCAAAATGCAGTCATACAAGGAGTCTTTCATTTTGATTTTGTATTGTTCTGTGTATGCATCTTTTGAAGGTGATGTGGAAGTGATAAAATTTGGTCATTTTACTTTATCTCTAATTTCTTTTAAAAAGTGATGGAAACCTTTTTTCATTCAGCTATGAAAATTTAATGAACCTTCCAAGGATTCTTAAATCCTATCCAGCGATACATTGCTTTTGTTGGTAATTGATTTAGTGAAGACATTCTGGGGTGTTTCGGAGACCCATACAAAGCTTATCAGCTTTTAACTTCAGTAGAATATTTGTAGTGTCACATGGATTCAAATATTAAGTTTTTCCTGCAGTACACTCTCTTGGGAAAGTATCTGCCTAAAGCTCTTGCATGTATGTTAGTTATGATAGCTTTATTGTATCTTAGTATTTGTTCTTTATATCTAAATTTTACCTGTGTTTCAACAATACAGATCTCCAAATTATGCAGGTATTCATTGTGAAGGCACAGGTGGTGTTTGTTCTGTTTTTGTGCCATTTTGAGGGGCTGAAATGTACATGAAAAAAACTCAGGTAATTCTGGTAGCAGCTCCTTCCATCTTTGTATGGAATATTTTGAATCAAAAGGAATAAATACAACATTTGATGTCAGGTCCTGTGTGGATGCACAGACAGTACATCCCCTGGGCTTCAGTTATGGCTCTGAGAGTTGAATATGTTCTAGTAAGAAGTCTCCAATGATTGAAAGTGTTTTTGAATCTATCCTTATTTAGGGATCCATAATGAACCTTACTTATGCCAGTGATAAACTTTTGTCTGTTCCTGTCAGTTGTATGCAAGGAAGACCTTTTTTCCTAATTAAACCCTGTGTTCACAAATTCTGAGTTCTACATTATGCATACAGAAAGTTCTTGCTTAGGGTTGCAAATGCCCTTTCCTTTCACTTTTGTTAAAAGCCAAGTTCCTCTATTTTCTTCTGTGAAGTTCATCTGTAGTTGCCACTAATCTTTTCTTATTGCTTAGGTTTGTAGACTTAATGCTCTTGTTGTTGTGAATTGGATTGGCTATTAGGATTGTCTGACAGGAATCCTGTCAGGTCAGATTTCTTGGTTTAGTAGGATAACTTTCTAAAACCTATATACATATTGTGAAATAATCAATAACTGAAATAGAGCATACATAAATATGCTTGTTATTTTGGTGGAGAAGCAGCTCAGGAAACATTTTTCAGAAAGCTAGGAGTTTTCTAGTAATATAAGACAGATGATTTTGAAATTGGCAAGTAGTTACTGAGCAAGAGAGAAGCTGCCATTTATAAGTATCATAAGAAGTGCTACTCAGCACTGTATAGCTGTTCTAAAGAAACTTTGGACTATTCTTCAAGGAAGTAAGACAAAGATAAGATGGGTAATAAGTCAGGATTATGACCTTGTTTAAGTTAGCTATCTCAGTTTTATTTAGATGTATATGTGTGGAAAGAAAAAAAAAGAAACCCAGACTTTTCTGTCCTGTTATAATTGTATGTATATACCATGTATATACCATAAATTACACATTGTATTAGCATAAAGATGTATTTACTTGGCATAACAAGAAAGAAAACTCAAGTTTTGTTTGTCTTTGCAGACAATAAATGTGAAATTTTGGAAAGTATTTTGAACTTAAGTATTGTACATTTGGATTGAAAAATGAGTAATTCAATTCATGTGTTGTACTGTGGCCTTTATTATAAATATTAACTCTTTCAAAATAATTTGATTTCTAATGGAAAAAGTTGCCCTTAAGCTATTGTTTTGAAATTTCTTGAAGAAATGCTATGACGTTTCTCACAGCAGGCATCTCGAGGGAGTTCTATTCTTGTTTGGCCTTACACTACTACCTCTGTTAGAGGTCATAAGAAAAGAAGCAAGTATTTATTCAGTTGTAAAATGGCTTTGCCTCCAGCTTTCACATACTTAGAAATGGATGAAATAGTCAGATCCTTAGTTTGCAGTGCATGGAGAATTTATTACTGCCAGCTTGCTGCAGCTGTGGGCTGCAGAATCTTCATCAATCCAGTGAAAGACTTTAGCAACTCAAAGCCATTATTCAATTTTTCGCTGAGTTATTGAGCCACAATCTCTTCAACAATCACTTCTGTTTTCACAGAAGATGTATTGCTGAAGCTCTAGTTAAAAACAGAGAGGTATAGATGTGTCATGAAAGGTTTTTCCACTTTGAAAACTGATTAAAAAGACATGGCTGAAATCACCATGATTGAACAAATATTAGCCTATTTCTTGTACTTTTTCAACCTCTGAAATAAACTGTTTTTCTTTTTGTATATTATTTTAATATCTTGAATTCAATGCAATGCGCACAAAAACTGTTGTAGATTTCTAGTACATGCTGCATACTTTCATAACGCCTTGGACTAAGTGTTCAGTACTAAGGTATACTGAAATTGAGGGGGTTTTGCATACTTTTGCATGGTTTATGTTTCCTCTCTGACCTCCATAATAGTTTAGAACTTACAAGTCACATGAACTTGAATATTTCACAAAATTTCATTAAGAAAATAATCTATCTCAAGTTGAAAATAGTTTGTTGAGCTTTTTCATTTTTTAGCTTTTATGTTTTTTTTCTGTGAACTTCAACTGTTAGAAAGTAATAGTTTAATTTTTTTACATGAGCAGCCATGTCAAATCAGAATATATAGCAGAGTTCTGTAAGAAAGCTAGTAAAAGAAAAAGTATTGTGAAATACAGTAGAGTGGTCTTTGAGTAGAGAACAAATGTCTGCTGTTAGGTTGTTTATGCAGTTTTTCTACAGCTGATTGTACAGCACTTTCTTTGTGTCATCAATTTATTAATAAATTTTTTCAAAATGTGCTGTGCCATGTTCAGTGCTGTATTTTAGGGGATTGCATTTACAGTTGTGAGAGGGCTCTTTCTTTCCTGGGCAAAGCAACTTTATGTATAACCATGTGGTTTTGCTTAGTATATAAAGTGGAAGGCTGGGGGAGCTGCCATTGGTGAACAGTGTTCCAAGGAGACACAAAAGTTAAACAAGTCTGAACTTTGAATATTGTGTGCAGTGGTGTCCTGGGATGGCTTTGGCTAAATTGCAGGACTCAAAATTGATTTTTTTTCCTGAAGTGGGGCTTTCATTATTATAAAAACCCTACATATTGTGAGAGGCTTTCTGGGCAAACACAATACTTTATATTGCAAGCAATTTTGGCTCATTCAGCAAACTAAGTTAAAAATATAAATATTTTATGGAATTACTGTTATTCATTCTAGTTTAGAATGAAAATCTTTTGTATGTACCACTACAAAACTATACTTCTCAAGCATTGCATGTCTGTTGCAGATGGCAGGGAATGTACTGCTGTTAATTATACACTGTACAATTAACTACTACATTATTTTACTTTATGGTGGCAGTCAGAATGCTCAGATGAAAGTCAGTCTTGTCAGGAAACACTGTTCCTCAAACTATGTGGAACGATTCCTTCTGGATGGATAATTGTAGTGGCAAAATCTCACTTTTATTCCATTGTTACCATGATGGTTCACTGGCATGAATGGTGTTGAGTTCTCAATAGCACTTCTGTTAGGAAATCTTGGACAACAGGTAGCATTACAAAGCAGGGAGTACCAAAACTAAGATTCTGAGTCTTGAGTTTCATTAGCTGTCTTCAGCAATTATCCCTAATCTGGTAGACCTTGGAGTGTTGAGAGTTTAAAAGAGATTACTGTTAAATATTTTTCTCTCTACAAGTTTGCCAGAAACAGGTGTTTATAAGTGATGATAAGGATTGATTTTATATAGTGTGATTGGTTTCCAGAGCTTTTCAGATGACTGTGAGCTCTACAGGGGATCTTTGGTTTTAGCAGTTCTGATGAGGTTCTGTCAAGACATTCTGCTTTATTCCTAGTAGCTCTTTTGCCCCTGCACAACTACCAGTAAATTCTCTGTGTGGTTTTAGGGCAGCTGACAGTCATGAAAGGACAAATATGAAGTATTGGCGATGTTTTAGTTTTCCATTAATTAGCAGAAGCAGTACCAAACCAGAATGCTTGGGCCATGCTCTTGGTAGTGGGTTTTGTCTCTGAGCACACTGACAGAGAATGAGTGTCCAGTTATCCAGATGGAACCTGGCCTGTGCACTCAGGGTCTTTCTAGAGTAGAAACTAATACTGTAGAGAAAGCTCTTGTGTCTGCAGATCTGACCTAGAGAGAGAAGAAGGAGGAGAATGGTGACTGTTTATCTACAACAGAGCTCTTGTATCTGCAGATCTGACCTAGAGAGAGAGAAGAAGGAGGAGAATGGTGACTGTTTATCTACAACAAATCTTTTCTGTCAGCCTTTTTACTGACTTCCAGGGAATGTAGACTTTACTCCAATATTGCTCCTGAAGTATATTTTGACATTGTACTCCCAGGAGCTTGGGCTGCTGTATTTAAGACACTTTGATAAACAACCTGTCTTTGTTTGGCTGTGCTTTTTGGGTATGGCTGTAAAGCTAGGGTTTTTTTCATTGTTGTTCTAAGGTTTATTAAAGTTCTTTCTGTATTGTTTTTTGTGTATTATGAATGATTCAAGTTTTTTTACTGCTGACTTTGCTAATGCACAGAATACTTAGGCCAAGATAAATATTTTTGCACCAGCCTGTCATTTCATAGTTAGATGGGATAGCATAATTAGTTTTCCTGTCCATGTGAATTTTTAATTTTTTTAAAAAAGTTATAAGCCATCAGTAGTGAGTAGAAGCAGCATGTCCAAGTATGTGAGAACTACTGTGTAACATATGCAAACACATATAACCAATGTCATATAGTAAAGAGATATTTTAAGG